TAAAATCTTTAAGACTTTTGGAATTCAAGACTTAGCAGGTCTGAGTTTGAAAACCTCCATCTCCATCCACGTGTTGGGTGTATAATCAGTTCCAAACAGAGTCCACACAGGCCAGAAAGTCATATTACCAGCAGCGTGGCAAGGCCTAGAGTGTTTAAACACACTTAGCTTGCATATGCCAAACAGGAATATTCTTCACATTCACAAACGGGTTTGCTCCATCTTGTTTTTCTTGAAACATTTGGTCTTCACAGACTAACTTTGCTTTTCTCACTTTTGACAGAGATGTGAGTTCAGTAACGATCTCACTACTCCTCTAACTCTGTCAAAGAGAAAAGGTAAAACAGCTCAGGAGATGATGAAGTCCCACTTGTGATGCCTACATTACTCCACGGCTAAAGTAATTGCCTGTCTTTCTATGCATTGGGCACTGTGTTAAGACCTTGACATGCAATATTTAATTGAAACCTTCTAATAGCCCTTTAAATCAGGTACTAATGTTGTGTCTGCTTTAAGGTGGAGAAACTGAGATGCAGAAAGCTCAAGCCACTTGTACCAATTCACTCAGCCAATTGGTGGTGGCGCAGAATCAGAAACCAGGTTGTCCATGTCCAAGACCTAAACACAGTTAGTGTCCAGTAAAGACTAATGCATCTTTACTGCCTAGGAGTGGAAGAGTCTGGTCCCCTAGGGAGGGCAGGGCAGAGGCCACAGGGAGGGAGGTGATGTCAAGCCACAGAACAGCTCAGAGAAGCCACCTTGGGTTGGCTGTGCCCTTGGACAGCCACCAAGTTCTCAGAGCCTCTGAGAAGTGTCCGACTTGAACACTCCTGCCCCTTTGGGAAGGCTCCTGAGTTTGTTCATCCTCCCTGGGAAGAGAGAAGTGGTGGTTTGGGAAGCTACAGATGGGGCAGCAGATGGAAAGTAAAAATCTATCAGAGTTGCCCAGGAAAAAACCATTCATCTGCAAAATTCGTATGTTTTTGTGTGGGGCAACTTCAGGAAAACAACAGCAAGAGGAACCAGTGGTGCTTGATGCATAAAGTGCCTCTGGCCATGAAGCTGGCAAGACATAGTGGGGAGAAGAATCAAAGGGAGGAGGGTAAATGAGATCAGCAAGGTAGAGGGAGAAGAAGTGAGAGACTCACAAAAAAAACCAAAATTAAGACAAATCCTTTTTATGAACCCCAAAGTGGTTGGGCACACGGTCCGAGAAAGGCTTTCTGAGATCCCGGATGCAATCTTGGATGTACCTTAGACATAAATAGTTGACATTCATGGAGCAGCTTCCAAGTGCCCAGCGGGCTGTTAGGTTCTATGATTATGTCTGGGTTTCATCTATGACTGGGTTTACTTGCCCAGAGTCACACTGTGAGCTAAGTGGTGGAACTGATTCCACCCTCAAGCCGTCTGATGAGAGACTGAGCACTTGCCTTCCGGGATGCTGAGCAGAGCTGGCCCTTTCAGGTGAAGTGGCCACAGTTACAGATTCAGCTTGCAAATCAACAAGGGGCCTCTAGGGAGCAGCAGCGGTCACGTCTACCAGGCCTCAAGGGGTCTCTGGCTTAGGACAGCCTCCTGGCCTAGGCTGACATGGCCTCTGAAGGCTCTACTGGAATTCTGGAGAAGGAAAAGTGTGGGAACCTTGAGGAAAATTTCTCAGACTCGAGGATAACAGGTGGCCTCCAAGTCCCTTACCCTGATATTCCCTGCTGCAAGGCCGTGTAACGACTACCCCACCCAGCCACAAGCACAAAGGATGGGACTGTCCCCTTCTGTGCTTTCTAGGTGACATGGGCCATCCCACCAGTGTGGGCCTGCTGACTTCCCCAGGAGGCCTACTTTAAGCAGAAAGAACACTAACTTTAGAACCAGACCAAAGTGGCTCTAATTCCTGTTCTGCCATGTATTCATCACATGGCCTTGGACCTCAGTTTACCCAACTGTTAAACGGGTTTTTGTGAGGGGTAAAGAATGTACCTGCCATGTTGGTTACTACGATTAACATTTTGGGATGTTCTCAAACTCAGTCTTTTCATGGAAGATGGAGGGAAAATGCTCTAACTCCTCCTTGTCCTATACTTGTCTAAACTTACCTCTCCTCATTCTCTTGTCATATTCTGGTGACTTAAAAATTTTCTCAAATTCAGCAAGTATATTTCCAACTCACATTGCTCCCAGGTTGTTCCCACTATTAGAAATGACAGTTCTTGACTGGAGACGATTGAGGCCCCTGGGGGACACTGGTCAATGTCTGGAGACATCTGTGGTTGGCATAAGTGGGCAGGGTGTGCCTCTGGCATCTAAACATTCCACATGCACAGGTCAGTTCCCACAGCAAAGGATTATCCATCCCCAAACATCAGCAGTGCCACAGTTGGGAAATCCTGGTATAGAATGATTTTCTCTGTCTGGTTTTCCTGTCAGGGGATCCCCTCTTGTCCTTCTGGGCTCGAATAAGGGCTGCATATTCAGAAGGCTTTCTCGCCTCCGGATGACACCCCTGCTGTTTGCCTCCACTCTCACATCCTTCTTTCTTTATATCCCTTTCACATCTTGCATGATGTCTGTATTGCATGGCTGTGTGAGTCTATCTTCTCAACTGGATATGTGCTCCATGAGCAGGGGAGGAGTAGAAGAAGTTACATTGCTTTTGTTCATGAAATGCACTAATTGACACACAGCACAGTAGTTGCTCAATAAATGTTTGTTATGAATGAATGAAAAAAAACATGATAAGTAAAAATCTACCAGCAGTGTTCTATGACCACCCTCTTTTACCCCTGATTTCCCATGAGCAGACAAACAAACAAACAAACAACAAAAACAAACAGTGTCTTTCTAGTGCCCATCATTTTTCTTGGATTCTGGGGTGTCAGGTGTGTCTTGTCCAAACTCAACAGAGGTGGTACCTCTTCTGACGCTCTGCAGGGTCCAGGGTCTCCCAGCAGATGGTGAGATGAACCCCTAAACCCAGGACTGAAGAAGGGTACCAAAGATCATGCTGGGAAGGAGAAAGAAGGCATTTCCAGCCTTGAAGAGAGGCTTTCCTTCTAAGTCTACACCTTATTTGGAACCTGATTCAAAAACCAAACTCTTGGGAATATATGTCCTGGATATTTGATGACACTAAGACATGCCTGCTAATATTTTTGGTGTAATTGTCATATTGATGCTATGTTAAAAGACTTTATCTTTTTGAGCTATACACTAAAATATTTATAGATAGAATCATGATGTTTTAGATTTGTTTCAAAATAATCCAGGGTTGGGGAAGAGGCTGAAAATCCAGATCCAACAAGACTGGTCACGAATTGACCCAAGTGATGTATAAGTGGGGGTTCATTATGGTATTCCTGGTACTCTCGTGCATGTATAAAATGTGCCCTAATAAGTGTTTGTTTATTTTTTTAAAAGATACCGTTATCTAGGTCTCCTGAGAATGCTACACTCAATGCTCTCATGCCATCAGAGACAGAAAGGCCTCCCTCCAAACCCACTTACTTTCCTTTTCAATCTTGTCAACAAATCAAGATGAAAGACACAAAGCAAAGAGTGGTCCTCTCAATATGAAATACAGCTTATGTTCTTTTTGATTTTTTTCTTACAAGACCTTTAGAGGAGTTTTCTTTGCTTATGGTCTATTTGAAAGAGCTGAAAACTAATGTCTGAGCAAAGGAACAGGCCTTCCTGGTGGCATCTGAGGTCACTGCTGCGTGTGTTTCTCACCACCTTGAGGCTCCCGCCACCAAACTACCACCAGCTACAGACAATTGCAGCTCGTAGCAGACTGTGAGTCCAGAGTGGGCAGATCTTAACAAAGAAGTTAGAAATTTGTGGTTTCACACGAAAACTCCCAATTTTAAAAGATGGGCAACCAATTCATTTGTCAAAATTGGATAGGGGTCAAACAAACACACCCATGGGTCTCACACAACATGAAGATGCCCGGCTGTGATCCTGCCTGGACTGCTGTGACTGGCCTGTCTTCTTCCTTTCCATTCTGCCCCTTTGAGTCTAACCTCTAAGTCAGCCCTTTGTCCTTCTTCTGCTCAAAACATGCTTCCATCTTGCTTGGAGTAATTGTCAAATTCTAGAATCCCTGTGATCTAACCCCAATACTCTCTGACCCACTATGGCTCTTGCCACACGACCCCTCACCTCTTCTGTCCTACATGGAGCCCTGCTGTTCCTCACACCTACCAGGCACGATCCTACCCTAGCCACCTGCCAGTACCACTTTCTCCATAGGCCTGATTCACTCCTTCATCTTCTTCCGTTCTTACCCACAAGGACCTTGCTGATCACCCTTGTTAAACTTAAAACTCTCAGTCGGATGTGGTGGTTCCAACCTATAATCCCAGCTCTCTAGGAGGCTGAGATGGGCAGATTGCTTGAGGCCAGGAGTTCAAGACCAGTCTTGGCAATATAGTGAAACCTCATCGCTACAAAGAAATAAAAAAATTAGCCAGGCCTGGTGGCACACACTTGTAGTCCCAGTTACTTGGGATGCTGAGGTGGAAGGATTGCCCAGGCCCAGCATATCCAGCCTGGGCGACAGAGTGAGTCCCTGACTAAAATAAATAAATAAATAAAACTCTCCCCAACTTCTTCCCTTTGCTTTATTTTCCTAATATCCCATTGTATTAATTTTGCTGGTCATTTATCTCTCTACTTGAACAGAAGCTCCATGCAGGTAGGAGCTTTAGAGCACTGTTACTTCCTTGACCAGAGCTGGGAAAATCGTGTGCTCAGTAACTATCTGTGGAATGAGTGAAAGAATGAGAGAATGCATGAATGGTTTTCAGGTCCAATGTGAACCCTATGCTGAGAGATCTTAGAGAGTCAGAGTGTAAGCTCCACGTGGCATCTCAATGAGGCAGAAAGCATCTCTGGATCGGAATTTGGGGCCCCGCCTTCTGGTTTCCCAGCCATGACTAGGGAGAGGGAGGGAGGTGGGATGTCAGACCAAGCTGGCTTGGGACCACTGATTGCCTTACCTGATGGGGTAGTCAGCGGCACTGAGGTTGATGAAGAAATCCCAGGGCCAGTCGGTCATCTCTAGGAGGTCCCGCATGCTCTGCAGATAGGTGGACAGGAGGCTGGCTCCCCCCCAGATTGTGGCCATCCTCCAGGGGGTGACACGGATGTTGTCATACTGCCTGGCAAACTGGAGCACTTGCCGATGCAGGTAATTAGAGCGCTTTTCCCAGGACAGAAAAGGTGAAGTTCAGCAGACATGTCCCTCATCCCTGTCCCTCTCTCTGTCTCTTCCCTTCTAGCTGGCAGTGCTTCTGAACACAGTGAACTCTGCCCAGTAGCTGATTCAGGCCTGGAGTGTTTTTCTGCACTGCTGTTCAAACTTGTATTATTTTTTTAATATTTCACATTAGATATCTGAAATGCAGATTCCCTGGCTTTACCTCTGAGCTACTGGTTCACAAGGCTTGGGCTGGTGTTACCTGGGACTCTTTATTTTGATGCATGACAGCTGCATGTGGTCTGAGGGTAACAAACTAAGGAATATGATTCTATGTATTTTGGGCATGGAGTTTCTGTTTTCTGTTCCTTCCCATTACCCCTCTCCCCTCGTTTTTCTCTCACAGGCCTGCTAGAAGCAAATCTTCTGGATGAACTATCTCCTTTGGCTACTTGACTAAAAGCATAATCATGTCTTATCAGCCAACCAACAGAAACCTCTGGGACAAAACAGCTCAGGACTCAGCAAGGCTGCTGCAGGTTTTTGTTAATAAAGTTTTATTGGCACACAGCCATGCCCGTGTGCTGACACGTTTTTTGTGGCTGTTTTCATACTATAAGCACAGTGCTGAGGAGCTGCGACAAACAGCGTACAGCTCACAAATACTAAAATATTTACTGTATTTTTATAGAAAAAGCGTTCCCACCCCTGAGATAGCTACTCCCAAGAAGTACGTGAGTGGCAGGAAAAGGGCCCTGGGTAATGAGGATAAGAGATAAGAAAAACAGTGCTTATGGAGAAAGTTGAAAGTTGCAGCTGGAAACTTAGAAACCAACACACACGCAAAGATACACACGAACATACACACATAGTACTTAAAGACCAAATGCTCCAAGGAGAGGCAGATGGTCAGCTTCCAAGCCTTCTCTGAAAGGGAGGGCAGCCTGGAGAGTGAGGGAGGAAGAGAGTATCAGAGAGGGACAGGCAGACCCTGGAGGAAGCCCAGCATGGGGCAATCTGAGAGGGTACCATACCTTGTCCACGTGGATGTAGTAGAAGTGATCTTTGTGGTAGATGGCCTTGAACATGCGCTGCAACTGCCGAGAGGCGCGGCCATGGACCACCAGGACAAAGGCGATTCTGACTGGGTTGGCTGGCATGTATTCCACGGAGTCCTCATCCCACTGCACATTCTTGTTAGCTTTGCCTGGGGAAAATGCAAGAGATCAGAGAGAGGGGAGGGTGAGGCTTAGATGTCCAAATCTGGGGGATGGAAAGTTTCTCCAGTGCTTCTTCTGGGGACTGGTCAAGAAACATGGTCATCATAATGGGCCTTGAAGCTTGACTCAGTGTAACCAAGCATGTCCTAGACCTTCAAGTGTCCAGGCACAAAAAGAGTAGGGGATCCTGGGGTGCTTGTGACATAGTTTTCATCCCCAAGGAGTTTTAGAAGGTTGGAGGAGACATATGGACACACGTGAAACTACTGAACAAGGCAGAAGGAGACGAGAGCTGTAAGGGATGTATTCCTGAACCACAGAGAAGGAAGTGGCTAACTCTGTGTTAGAAAATGTAAGACAAGTGCTGTTTTTGCCTGTCCAGAATCCATTCTCCCTTCTTTTCCCAACTCTTAATTTCCTAGCATACAATAAACTTGTTTATTTTAACTGCGGTAAGGACAGATAACATAAGATCAAACTTCGTAGCAAATGTTTAAGTGTGCCAGGCAGTATTGTTAACTATTAGTACGACATTGTGCAGCAGGTCTCCAGAACTTTTTCATCTTCCAAAACCGAAACTTTACCATCCAGTGCCTCTTGAGGCATCATCCCCTTCCTCCATTCTCAGTCCATGAGGAAGAGGAGGGTCTAACTCCACCATTAATTCCAAGAATGGTCATGTAGCTTGGGTCTGGTCAATCCAAATACTGACTCTCCCTGGCCATAATACTGTTCAGGGATGGATGTGAGACCCAACCAAGCCAAGTAGCCAACAGGACAGAACTCCAGGCTTGTGTTGGAGCTACTGGATAAGAGAGGATCTCTTTCTGTTGGATATGAGACAGGAAGATTTGAAGAGCCTTTTTGCTCTCACATGGAGAGAGATTTCCTGAAAACAAGATTAACATAGAGGGAAATAGCCCAGCAGCCATGAGATTCTGGGACTTGAGTTCCTGGGCTGGTCAGTCTGGAGATTAGTCACTGTCAGCTATCATTTTTCTTTTAAAGCCAGATCCTACACCAGATCTGCCTGGATAAGTGGTTCTAGACATCTTTTATTCTAAAAATCAGCCCCCAAACCTCCTCTTTCTTTCCCAGATATTCTAGGGGCAAGGCCTCAGGAAGAAAGACAGCTTCCTGGTTTAGTTTATTACAGTTCCAACTGGATATCATCTGGCTGTCCTCGGTTTGATTTCCTTTGGATCCAACCTGATTTCTTTTGTGTTCTAGGTTTGTAGGACCTAGAACATTGCCAGGTAGTAGCTGTAGGTGGCCCAGAACATTGGCTGGGGGAGCTGAAAATGGAGACTGTGGAGGTTGGATCAGAAGATCAAGGCCTGTGAGATATCATCAGGAGGCTGATTGGGTATCAAATGAACAGCTGTCCCAGAGGACAGGATGAGATTAATGTGGGTGATGTCCAAATCACACTGCACAGCCTCCATGGCTGGTGTGATCTGATTGCATAGGCCTCTCTGCTCTGGGTCAGTCCAACATTCCACCTCACCACCAAGCCTTCCTTCTTTTCCTTGAACAAAACTATTTCTGCCTCAGGACTGGCTATCCATGTAACCTGGAACATCCTCTCTCCAGGTCTTTGAATGGTTGCATCATCTGGTCATTAGTTCACAGTCCAAAAGAAAAAGAACTGCCCGTCGCTCACTCTATCTTTACATTATTTTCTCTCATCCTATTTCTGTTTTCTGCAAAGTATTTAACACTGCCTGAAATTGTTTATTGTGTATTTGTTTATTGTCTAAACATTATTCTAGGACATTAACTCCAAGAGATGAGAGCCTATTTCTATCTCATTTGCCACTAAATAAGCAACATTAGGACAGTACCTGGCACACACCTGGTTCTTAGTGAAAAGAAAAAAGTTACAAGAGAGTGTAAATTTTGACTCAGAGTAATAAAAATACCTTTTACTTAGCAATGGCCGTCAATTGACTTTCATGAGATCATTCAATCCTCATAACAGTGCTGCTACTGTCCCTATTTTCCAAATGAGAAAACCATAGGCTTAGAGAGGCCAAGGAATTTGTTCATGGTCACATTGCTTTAATTAATGAAGCTGAGATTCAAACACAGGTCTCATTCCAAAGACCATGCTCTTAATCACTAATATACATTTTATCATAGCTAGAGTTTATAAGGAGAAGTTTATGACAATTACACTTGTTGCTAATGAAATATCGTATATGTTAGTTATTGCAGGTAAGTAAGCATGGATTTCAGAAGTGTCATAGGTATTGTAAGTGTTTTTGTATTAGACAAGGGACTGACTCTAGGTGATAAATAAAGTTACATCTTTTCATCTATCCATCTGTCCATCCATCCATCCACCCTTCCATTCATGTATCCTTCATCCATTCATCTATCCACCCACCCATCCAAATCCAACCACTTATCCATATAGCCACCCAACCAACCACAGCAAACTATCCAACCAACCAACCAGAAAGATATCCAAGAGGCTATCATCCCAAATACCATCCATCCATTCAAGGCTAATGGGGCCTCTAAGATCAAGCCTTTCTTTTTCCTCCAGCCATGAGTTTTGTTGCCATGGTTGATGAATGAGTGAATGATGAATGCATTCTGAAGAAGAGTAGTTGCTCTGGTCCAGAGGAGTTGATGTTCCCTAAGCACCTGCTATGCATATGCACTGTGGACAATCTGGGCTCTGTGTTCGTCATTATTTCACCCTGGGAAGAATGCATTCTCATGCTCTGAGGCCCAGAGAAGTCAGCAAAATTCCCAGGTAATACAGTGAGTGAGAACAGAAGCCAGAGGGGAAGCTGAGCGTTGCTGACTCCAAAGTCAGCCCTGCTATTTCTATGTGCTCTCTGCAGTTAGAGAGGGTTGGTGTGAAGACGCTACACTGGTCTTTAAAAGGGAATTGGACAAAAATTAACCATAAATGGATCAGAGACCTAAATGTAAAACCTCAAACCATAAGAACCTTAGAAAATGCAGGACACACCCTTATGGAAATTGGAACTGGCATCCAATTCCTGAACAAAACCCGAAACCCACAGGCCATAAGAGATAAGATAGACAAATGGGACCTCATTAAACTGACAAGCTTCTGCAAAGCCAAAGAAACCATCAAGAGAGCAGGGAGACAGTCCACAGACTGGGAAAAAGTATTTGCCAACTCCAGGTCCGACAAAGGCTTAACATCTTTGATCTACAAGGAACTCAAACGTGCTGAAAAGAAAAAAAACAAACAACCCCATTATAAAGTGGGCAAAAGATATGAACAGACACTTCTCAAAGGAAGACATCCAAGCAGCCAACAGACACATGAAGAAATGTTCAACCTCACTAATCGATCAAGGAGATGCAAATCAAAACCACACTGAGATAACACCTAACTCCAGTCAGAATGGTAATTATCAATAACTCAAAAAATAACAGTTGCTGGAGAGGGTGTGGTGAAAAGGAAACACTCCTACACTGTTGGTGGGAGTGCAAACTGGTGCAACCTCTGTGGAAAACAGTGTGGCAATTCCTAAAAGCTCTAAATATCAGCCTCCCACATGACCCCACAATCCCCCTACTGGGAATATACCCTGAAGAACTCAAATTACTCTATCAAAAAGATACCTGCACATGTATGTTTATCGCAGCATTGTTCACAATAACAAGAACCTGGA